AATAGGATCCCCTTTTCTAAGCCCATTAGAAGCCTTAAAAAATCCATGACTCTTACCATTCATAATAATAGAAAAATAAGGGCTTTTAATGCAAGTCTTAATGAAATTGATGAAATTAAGATCACAACCAAATAAATTCATGATATTGTATATAAAATTTCAATTAATATTATCATAAGCTTTAGTAATATCTATTTTTAGAATCATATTATCACATATAACCTTGACATCCAAGTCTTGACAAAATTCTTGTTCCAATAGGATATTGTCAACGATAGCACGCCCTTTGATAAAGCCCATTTGAAAAGGCGAAATAAGCATAGGCAATAAAACATTTGGCCAATTTATCATAATTTTATAAAGCAGTTTATAAAGGATAGTACACAAATTAATATGTCTAAATCATGTTAGGAGTTCATAGAATTGTTCTTATGAATAAGCACAATAGAAGTTGTAGAAAGAAACTTAGGGACAAGATTAGGATTAAAGAAATCAGTAACAATAGAGAAAAGATCATTATAAATAATAGGCCATGTTTTTTGAAAAAACTTAGTCGTGAAACCATCCAAACCAGCCACAGAATCACTATTCATACTTAAACTAGTATCCTTAACCTCCTCAAGAGAAGGAGATTTAGACAAGCCACTATTATCCTAAAAAGAAATAAGATTAGGAATAAAACACTATCAAGTGAAACCCCCTAGCTCTATTCTTAATTTTAATAAGAAGATGAGATTGATCAGAGAGGGTACAGGTAAGATGGTCAACCTTAGTAAACTCAAAAGAATTAATCCAAACATCATTAAATAAAACACTATCAAGCCTTTGACACAAATGACCATGATGCCAAGTAAAATTATCGCTAGAAAAATAAATATCATTAAGGTTGCAATCCATAATCATACCATTGAAATCCTCTATGGACAGATAAATAGGGAGAGAACCCCCTATAAGCTCAGCCGAGTTCATTATAGTGTTAAAATTTCCACCAACAAGCCAAGGAAGATTGCAAATACTATGAAAATAAATAATTTGATCCCTTAAAAGCTTTCTAGCATAATGAGATGAAGCAGCATAAACAAACAACACTCAACATTAGAAACTAAAACTTTCAATATTACAATGCAAGACTTTATTTTGATCCTAAATTTATGAATAAACAATACCCCGAACATTACAAATAGTAATGTTAAACATAAAAAACAATGATTAATCAAAAGTATGTGAACGTGTGTTTCTAGGAGATTGTAAGAAGACATTTTTTGATTTTCTACCTCTTTTACCATGACCCTTGGAAAATACCATATCATGATCATCTTTAGTATAGCATTTAGCCAACATATCCACCTCCATGTCAGTAAAAGCGTCACTAAGATAATTTTCAGATAAAGGAAGCTTACTATCAATAAAATGACTTGAAAGCCCCCTAAAAAGAGGCAAATCACCTTCCACAAAGAAAACACCATCTTCCATAGTAGAAACATTCTTCCCAACAACTCCACTAACTTCCTTCACACTCTCGATTTGGACAATAGTAAACCTCTATTTTCCTCCAACCTCTACATTATATTGGTTACTGACATCCTTTCCAAAAAAACTAACCACCGTACATTCATGGTCTTCCTCTTGAAAAAGAACATTCTCATGCATATTATTATTTGAAACATATTGAAATATAGAAGAAGAAGAAGAGCCATCGTTAGAATTAGAAATATTAAATAATGGATGGTCTTCCACCATATGACAATCAATATTAGAAACATGAATTTGGGTAGGATTCACAGCCTGATCATCAATCTGATCATGATTTATAAGGTAGAAAGTTTTATTTTGATCCTAAATTTTATCACTATTCTTTTTTTTTTTTTTTGAACAAAAATGCATAATGCATTAAACTAGAAAAGAAAAACAGATACAATCAAGAGAGCCCTAAAGCATCACATTCCTCCTTCAAAAAAAAAAACAGGAAAGAAGAAGGAATACCATCCCCAAGAAGATCATCCCACAAGTAAGATCTCTCTAAAGCCAAATTAGCACATATATCAGCTAATTTGTTATTACATCTACTAGCCAAAGAGAAAACAACTTGATTAAAATTTAGCAAAAACGCTAAACCTTCATCAATATTTTTACTAACCTTCCAATCCTTGATAGAATTTTGAAGCATCTTCACGATATTGAAATTATCTCCCTCAATGATGACTCGTTGAGCTTCAAACATCCATTCCTTCACTACATTTCTTAGATAAAGAATAGCCATCATCTCCAACTGTGAAATATCCCAATGTAAACATCGGGTACCAAAAGCTCCCAGGAACCTGCCATTCCCGTCTATAGAAACACCACCTATCCCGGCCAAATTATTCCCTTTTAGAGCAGCATCAACATTGATTTTAATCCAACCGGTTGGAGGAGGATACCAAGGAATTAACAGCGATTGCTGATTAGCATCCCAGTTTACCGGCTGAACATTCAAAAAAAATTTCTTCACAGCAAATGAAATAGCATTCGCTGCTACAACAGCTTCTGAATGTTCCTTCTCTCCATGAACCACCTTACATCTACTCTTCCAAACCAGGAAAATAACGAAACATAAAATATTAGCATTAAGAACATCCTTACTCACAATCTTTTGAAGTCCTTCCTTGCAATCCAAACAGCCATTATAAAGTGGAATGGGAAATCCCCATCTATTCAGTAAAAGGATTACCTTCTGAATTTTACAGCAATTTCCAACTAGATGACTGTTATCCTCTACACCTTCACAACCTCTCGGACATCCATCAAAGGTACTTAATTTCCTATTAACTAGGAAAGAATTTGAGGGAATAGCCTTCATACACAGTCTCCACCAAAAGAGTTCTATTTTCGGATTTAATTTTATCTTTTTCAACCAATTCAAATGTGTTACCTCAACTTCATGCTCCAAAGTAGCTTCTAAAGCCAATGCTGTAACAGATTTCCCGAAGAATTTGTATTTCAATTCCAACATATCAAATTCTCTATTGGCAATGATAGGGATGTTGGAAATTAAGTTCACCAGCTGCTCACCAAAGGAAGCCTTAAGCACTTCCAAATTCCAGCTCCCATTGGAAATGAAATTACTGAGTTTGAAATCTAAAATATTTTGAATATTGACAAAAGTGGGCCATGAAGCTATACACTTGTCCAAAATCCAAGAGTCATTAACCCAATTTACAGAATTTCCATTTGAAATACTCCATCTAACAATGTTTTTGAGAAATTTAGCTCCCATGGTAAAAATCTTCCAAGTTGAAGAATTTCCTCCCTACACCGAATTGGACCAAAGATCTCGCCCATACTTTGCTCTAAGGACATGATTCAATAAAGAGTGAGGCTTCATATAGAAATCCCATGCAAATTTGGCTCTAAGAGGACCAACTCTTGAAATAGCAGAAAACAGTCCCCTACCACCTTCCGATTCCGGCTTACAGAGCAGCTCCCATGAAGCATAATGAATACCAGCATTTCAATTATTTTTACTCCAAAGAAACCCTCTAATCAAATTCTTTAAGAATACTCAAAGGGACCAAAGAGAGTGTAGATAAAAAATGGGGCAAAGAAATTAAATCCGACTTTACTAATACCAATTTACCTTCCAATGAAATGCAATTCTTCCCCCAAGTATTGAGCTTGTTATGTGCAGCTTCCAACAGAACCTAAAAATCCGAAGCCACAATCCTTTTGAGGGTCATCTTCACACCAAGGTAATTGATATCCTTTACCACTTCAAACTTTAGCCTCTTAATAATCTTTTTCTTGATACATCTATTAGTGAACCTCCCAAACATAATCATAGACTTCAAGTTGTTAACCTTCTGTCGAGTCCAATTAAAATAATTGGAAATGATTTTCTTCAATTCCTTAACCTCCTTGTAATTAGCTTTCGAAAATATTAAGATATCATCTGCATAGAGTAACTGAGATACTCTAGGAGCCAAAGGAGAAATAGAGATTCCCTTACCATTTCTTCTAGCAAGCAAAGCATCAGACAAAACTTGAGAACACAAAATGAATAAAACAGGCGACAAAGGACAACCTTGTCTGAAGCCACATTTACCATCAATCCATCCAGATTTTTTCCCATTGATAAGAATACAAAATTTAGGATTGACAACACATTGCAAAATAAGTTCCAAATATTTTGAAGGGAATTTAAATTGAGAAAGAGGTTGCATTAATGTTTCCCATCCCATACTATCATAAGCGTGTTCCATGTCAAGCTTGATAGCAAACATTCCACTTCTAGCCTTGGACCATTTGAATTTATTGAATACCTCCTGAGCCAACAACACATGATCGGATAACGAACGTCCTCTCACAAAATCCACCTGATCATTAGATATGATCTTATATATTACTCTCTCCATTCTGTTAAGGAGCATCTTAGCATTAAGCTTGTAAATAGTCAAACAAAGACTAATAGGTCTATAATGGACTGGTTCTTGAGGGCTCTTGATCGTGGAGATTAAAACAATCATTCTTTCCTTCCAAGATTCATCCATAAAACTTGAAATCATAAACTGTTTCACAGCAATCCAAGTATCTCCTTTGATAGTTTGCCAAAAATCTTTGATGAATGAGAAAGAAATCCCATCTACACCTGGAGAAATACTCCTCATAGAGCTCTCTACCACCACCTGAAGTTCTTCCTGTAAGAATTCAGCTTCCAACATTCTCTGGTCTTCCAAACTAAGAACATTAGAAGGTCTCCGCCACCCTTCTAAAATGCAGTCACTGAATTGCCATTTGCATCTGAAAAAATCATAGAATGTATCCTGAATTACAGATTCTCCCTCCGTGAAAATTCCACTCCCTGTTTTAATATGACAGATCCAGTTCGAACTTCGCCTTGCACTAGCAAATGCATGAAAGAAAGAGGTATTACAATTCCCTTCATCCATCCATCTAGCTTTGGCTCTTTGCCTCCACCAAGTATTGATCCTAGACAACGTAACATTGATTTAGTTGATTTTAAATCACAAAATCTGCAGCCTCTCCACAGATAACACCCCTTCAGATTCTTCCAATTGAATCTCCAAAATCTCATCCTTCAATTTATCTCTTAAAGCATTTAACCCTTTGTACTTTTCCTTGCTACAATAGAACAGTGCTTTTAAAGTTCTCTTGAACTTCAAATTAAGAATAGTAGCCGGATCCCCTTTACAATTCCTCTTCCAAACACTCTTCACTAAAGCAGATGCACCATAATAGGAAGCCCAGACTTCTTCATATCTGATTGTACTCTTGGTATGCTCCAAAGGTTTAAAAACCTCCAACAAGATTGGACAATGATCCGAGGCCACACGAGATAGATGCTTCACAAGAGCAATATGAATGCAATCCAAAGCAATGGTATTGATAATGCATCTATCTAGCTTTTCCAGAATTCTAGCTCCACCATTCTTATTTTTACACCAAGTAAATCTTGGTCCCATTGACTTAATTTCATGCAAATCATTTCTAATCATGAAATTAGTGAAATATTTAGAACCTTGGTTAACCAAAAATTTCTTCCCTCCTCTCTTTTCAGCTTGAGAAATTATACAATTGAAATCACCCCCTACCACAAAAGGACGGTTACCTGAGCAATGTTTTTCTAAATCTGTCTAGAGAGTTCTTCTATTCTGAATATCATTGCTTCCGTATACAGATGATACCATCCAGCTTCCCTTCCCTGAAACATCAAGCTTCCCCACTATCATTTGAGAAGAAGCTTCCAACACAGAAAAACTAGCTAAATCTTTCCTCCATAAAACCATCAAACCACCCGAAAGACCAGCAGCTGGCACCTGAAAAAAATCCCATTGCACTCCGAGCGACTTCAACAGAAAACAATCCTCCATTGCATTAATCTTTGTTTCCAATAACCCCACAAAAAAACACTCTAAAATCTTTGACAATCTCTTTAAGATATAGAGTTGCCTCCACCTTCTTAGCTCCTCTACAATTCCAAAATAGAAAGGAAGACATTATTTAAAAATGGGAGAAGGCCCCCCAACCTTTTTAACTTTACCTCCATCTATCTTCCTATGATGAGGAATAATATTCTTAATATTCCCTGATCCAAGATATTTGAGTTCCTTAATCAACTTTGCTTTCTTTTCCAAAGATTGACTTCCTCTCTTCCACTGAAAGGGATTAACACTTCACTGCACATTTCCCATGAATTTCCTGGGTTCTGCTTGCCATAAGAATCTGATCTGATCATCTCCATCTCGTTTCCAGGAGACAAGATCTCTCCTTCTTCAGCACCATTGCAGTTAAATGACTCATCTAAATTAGCCAACATTTTAAATTTGTTATCTACTTCCACTTCTCCAGAATCCTCTGCAGCCTTTTCCAACATACCTTTAACAGTTGGACTCGTACCATCTTGAATTGTCTCTGTTACACAAGCTTCATTCACCATTACATTAGGCACCATTGAATTAACCATATCACCATTCAGATAGGAATCTGATTTTGGAGCTTCCCCAATTTTTGATTTCTCTCGATCTGAAATGCTGACCTTATGAACATACATTCTCTTCATACTGAAGTGACTGTTCCTATTCCCCAAACTCCTTTTAAAAGCCATCTTCACCCTTCTCTTGTTCCCATGTTGGACCTTAATCCAGGGGTTATTTTTTCCTTCCTCCAATGCAATCTTTGCACTCACTTCCTTCAACAGTTTTGTCTGACTTTCAATACCTTCCACTGGTTGTACAACCTTGGAACAAAATTCTACCTTTTGCTTTCCTTCTTCACATCCTTTACTAGAATGGCCAATTCTACCACAATCTAAGCAGATTTTGGAAAACCCTTCGTATTCCACTTTCTGAAAAAATTGCCTGCTGATCCTTTCACCCAAACTCCCTTTGGGAGGTTCATGTCAAGTGGAATTCTAATACATATCCGAGCAAATTCCCTCCTACTCCATTGAGACATATTCCCATCAAGTAAATATGTCTTACCAATTAACGAAGCAATTCTGCATATATTTATCTCATCCCAACAATGGAGAGGTAAGTCGGGTAGCCGAATCCAAACAGGTGAAGAAACACCATTTAGAGACAAAGGATTAAAGTTTATAGACCATTTGTCCAAGCCTATAACATGTCCTCTAATCCACCAACGACCACCCGAGAGAACACAGCTTACAGCTTTATCATCTTCGAACGAGCATAAAATCCAACCAAGGCCCAAACCTGTAATATGGAATTTACCATACTTCTCCCATTGTCTCCTCAACTCCATACTCACCACATAAAAAGGAATCTCATCACCAAAAGTCTTCACCACTATAGCTCTTTCCAGCCTTTTAAAATTTTCCATTTCCTTTTCAGCATTAAGCACCACCATTTTCCCATCTTCAGATATACAATCTCCCAGATCCAGGTTGTCAACATTAATGTCTGGTTTTTTCCTCCAAGCCGATTGTGTCCACATATTATGCTTCTTCCCCTTAACAACTTCTGTCGGACCTGTGGCTGCCACATTTAGAACCTCCTCATGTGCCCCCGCAATTTTACTCAGAGGCAATTCTGCAATCACATTCTCCGCATCCTTTGAAACTCCATAAAAAATATCAACCGAATTCTCAATAATAGGAGAAGATTTCGAAGAACTACGATCAACCTCAAAATTGACCTTTTAACCTCCCGAGGAGGAAGCAACCAAATTTTTATTCTGTAGATTTTCCTTTCCGCCTGTAGCACAAGGTGAGATATCCAAATTCTGTTTCAAGACATCCTCCCTAATAACATCTTTTACCTTACCAGAAGCATGGATAATTGGTTCTTTATTATCCAATAAACCACCCTCCTTAATCACCAGAGGTTTGTTTACAAAACTTCTGAAATTATTATTGAAACCAACCAAGATCTTGGATCCACCATTAAAGACTTCTGAAGGATCAAGAACTGGAATAGATATTCCATTTCTATAATTCTTCCATTTGTCCGGAGGAATAAGTCATCGATGATCCATCGCCATCCCTTTGAGCCGACGAATTGCCGGATATCCGGCCAAACCCGCAACTGGTGCGTCGTCCCGCCTAAACAGAAAATCAAAATACCAGAGCTTTTCTCTCTATGAGGTGAAAAACTCATTAGTTAGGTTCCCTGAAAATATTATCACTATTCACAGTAGCAACATTACCCTCTAACAGGATAGGATTGGATTCTTACCTATTAACTTGTAAAGGAGGAACAATAACTTGCTCAAAAGAAACATTTCCCTCATTCACAACAGTATTAGGTTTCACAATATTCAAATCAATCGAATGAGTACCAGCCTATTTAGAAACTTTCTCTTTATGGAGATTAGGATGTAACTGAAGGAATTCATTCAAGCCATGACCATGCATCTTGTAATTGGAGCAAAAAATAGGTAAGTTTTCAATTTCCACTTTTTGAAAGTACCCATTCAATTCTAAACCAATCCAAATTTCCTTAGGATATTATTTGGAGATATCCTATTCAAAAAGAACAGAAGCTATAGATGGCCTAGTAAGAGTAGCCATAGCTTGATCGGTCTGTAAGGTTCTACCAAATATCTAAGCTAAATCAAATAGTATTTAAAGAGTTAAAAAAATGTAGACGCAAGTTATGTAAACAAAGCCACACATGAGAAATTAGAGATTCCTCCCGCACATCAAAATCTGGGGTACATTTCAATAATCTCATTTGGCACGCCTGTATATAATAGGATCTTCTCAAGAAAATACGACTATAATCAAGATCATTATTTAGTGAATCACAACATGCTGAGGATCCAAAAAACCAACATTAAAGGTTCCAGAAAACTTTAGATTATAAAGAAAACTTGCGTATAACATCCAGGTTATTCCTCCTCAAAATGAATTTATAGACCAAAGTATGAGCAAAGGGTGCAGCAAGATTCATAATAATAGAGTCATCGAACAAAGGTGCATGGTATCCTTTAAATGATGAATGCACAAAGGAAACTTTAGAAGAACAAGGTGAAGCACCATACAAAACCTCCTTGAAGGATATGGATTTCCCCTCATGAAAAGAAGGCGGAGGTGGGATGGATGATGATAGAGATGTCAACTCCCGGAGCCAAAAAAAATCTAAAAGGGCCTCAAAATAATACAAATAACATAACCAACAAATGAAAGTAAAAAAAAAATGGAAGAAAACCACAAAAAATTAAAGCCAGATGCGAGGATTGAAAAACCCTATATCTTCTTAGAGTCGTCATGAAAGCTAGCAGAGAGACAAATTTGGATATTAACATGGATAATTAATTAAGATAATTATTCATGGTTCTTTAAATTAAAATTGCTATACTTTTTGCATTATTTTTTTCTTAAAAACTATAGAGTATAATCTTACATTTTAATTAAATTTAAATTGAAAAACATTAATTTGTAATAAAGAAGCTAATCAAAGGTGAAAATTTTAATTTCTTGAGGATAAACAAGAGCTTATGATAGGGGAAATTAGTTAACTAAAAACTATATTATGTTTTATTTCATTAAATTCCAATAAATATGTTTGTTTTAGTTGATGTTGAGCAAGAATCTCTCAAGAAATGGAGCACAATATACAATGTCCAAAATCAACATTGTAATGCCATAACTTTTAGCACTAAAACATCCCTAAGGCCTCAATGCTAAGTTTGTACTTTGTAGTACTGAAGTCTCAATAAATTTCATTAAGGTCAAACCCCCAACTAATTAAAGGACATGGGTGTTGTTCCACCTAGCGCTGCAACACAAAAATTTATCATTGTAGAATCAAAGTCCTCAAAAAAATTTATAAATAATTCAACATTAGAGCACCAACATTGGAAGCACCATAACAATAATGATGTAATAGAGCACCATAGTGCTCCACTTGGAACTTTGTGGAAAAATAATTATAGAAAGAAGAACTACACTAATTTAGCTAAAATTCACACTAGTTTAGTCAATAACATCACATAGTCAACCCAGCATAATAATAGAGCAACTCAAGAAGTTCTAATGTGCTACTTCATATTCAAAAACCATAGCCCTACCTTGTCAAGAATCTGAAAGTTCGTTAGGGATGTTAAGCCCTTATGAACTGACCAAGGCTAACCAATAGGGGGGGGGGTGAATTGGTATTTTAAAAAATATTTTAACCAAAGCGCAACAAAGCACAAACCAAAATCACCATAGAAAATAAGTGCAAAAAAAATTAAATGTGGAAGCAGAAAAGAGAACACAAGGGTTTATAGTGGTTTGGTCAACTCGACCTATGTCCACTCCCCGGAGGCACCCTCCTAGTATTGCACTACCAAAGTGACTCTCCTTTTGCTCCCATAATAAGGCGGAGAAGCCCTTATAAAAACCTCATTTTTGCCACCCCCGGCAAGGCAAAGAACCCAGCTCCTTTTGCTTCCTCTTGAAGCAGACAGAGAACCTCGATCGATCGCTGAAGCATACCTCTCCCAACCCTTCCAAGGA